AATAACTACAAAGAACAATAACTACAAAGTCACAAAACTCTCAAACACCCCACAAATTTAAAATGAATCCGTCTTTTTTTTCGAGGCATCAGACGACGACATGATAAAAAAAAGCTCAGTGAAAGTGACCTCAGTTCATCAGAACTTCCTCCTTTCCAGAGCAAGGTCGGCAAAACGTGAAGTCAACGACTAATAACGATGTCCACATTTCGCAGTTCTGTCTCATAACATACAAAATGAATGAGTAAGTGGTAGACGAGGCCCATTCAGCCCGTTACTCAAGTATTCCATCCTAATCCTCCCTCCCGACTTTTAAATCAAGAGAAAATCTTGTGAATTGTAGACAAATTACAGTTCGATACTAAATTAGCTACTCACCTTTATCAATTCTACACTTCTGTTCATAACGACACACGTAATTTTTCCCAGCACGAACCTACAAGGCATTACTGATATTAATGATTATAAACCATATCTTTTAAATAAGCAGGAAGTACTCAAGTAAAGACGGTAAGTGTTACAGGGTGAGTTAGCTGGTGAATTTATCCTCATTCAGTTTTCATAACTGAAAAAAAAACAAAATCTTCCGCACAGATCTAAGCTTGTTTTACTACCACTGTAAAATGTACGCACTTCGTATGCTGGCATACTCACCAGTCGCATCAGCAGATGATCAAAAGAAAGCCGGCTTTAAATCCTTTTTTCAGGAATGCACTTAAACTTCCAACAACGCATTGAGGGGTGAAGTGAAAAAAACCGACTTACCGTTCTACGAAAGAAACCCTTGCAACCGAAACATGCAGTAACACCATAATGCCGACCACTTGCTTCATCATGGCAAACCGAACTGGAAAATTCAGCGCTCAGTGCTTGAAAAATTTCTCTCAGTGAAGCTTTCAAGAAATTTAAACTCCTTATATTTTTGAAAAATAACCGTACATGGTTAAAAATCAAAAGATATGTTCTCCGCGTCTTTCACATCAATATTTACAGATATGGTCCTTCACATCTAACGCAAATATTATAAAGAACTTCGTCGAAAACTAATCACAATCAACAGTCTAAATGCACATCATTTATTACAGCTACCGGGAGCAAGAGCGCTCTCAAGACAGATTTCTCACTGTCACTGTGTATGTAAATTTCTTGTTTATGTAATATTGGTCCAAAAGATGTAGCGACCACGACATATTTAAAAAGCAAATTACATGCACAATGCGTATACTTCTGTATCAAATACGCTCACAGAAACCCGATTCCAAATATGTAAAGCAATTAATGGAACGTTTTACTTGGCAACTTACAAAATTCCAGAAACCTTTCCTTCCGATCTCTTCCAAAAAAACTGCACAGCTTAACTAAATATATATTCAGTACCAGCTATCTGATTGCATATTTCCGTGAAACCTTTGAATTATCCGATGACATCAAAAATGTGGAACAATTCAGTGAAAGAACGAGTCTAAGGATAGTTAGTAATCAGTTGAAATTCAAAAGTTGTAAGATCAATGGCGTAGGAGGGTCTGAGAAAAAAGACGAAAGGTCATCCTCTCATCAAGGACACTGAAGAGTGCTGTCCTGTTAATCAGTAAATTGTCTGGTCTGTTCCCTTTTTGTTGTCTCAGCTGAGGACTATTCCATCATAATGTCAAGACAGCAACATCATTCTAGTGAAAAAGGAAAGTAAAAATCGTAAATTGGACTCGAAGAGAAATCAGCAAGAAAGGGAACTGTGATGTTAAGGTTGACGCAATAATGAGAGTGAGGATTTTTATTGTTCACCTTTATGAACTAGATCACAACTCATTATTGGTGAGGGGAAGGGGGACGTTCATATTCCAAGTGACCCGGAACCGTCCCGGAATCGTGAAACTGGAAAATAAGGACGACAACGGGGGAAAGAGGGAGAGATATGCAAGTCATCGCTTACAAATGCAAATGTATGTTCGGAACACTAAAAATATTCATCTGAATGTATAATTATTATATTTCTAGTAACATTCTGACGCTAGAGCAGCGGTCCAATGTGCTTAGTTGCATCAGCAAGGTTTTCGAAACCTCAGTTCAAAAGAGATATGATGAAAATTAAACCTAACACTGCTGCTCAACATTTTATATATTACTTAGTTTCGAACTTTTCATCTCTTTCGAACAAAGTGAAGAAGCACTGGATAACAGATCGGCGCATATAAATTACTGTGAACGGTATGTACAATCCGAATACGCCAAAACGAATTTTCGAAAACACACAAAGGATTAGAAACAAGTTAAATAGAACCTTTCCTTACAAACAATGACACCATATCAGGGATGAGCGAATAATGTGAAGCAATACCTGAAGAGCACGAACATTTAAATCCAGAAACTAGGAATGTTGAGAATATTTTAAGTATATGTTCGGGTAGAGCTGAAAGGAATGAGCAAAACGAATAGAATTAATAGATTACTTGTCAATGGGAGGGGGGACTGGTTGTTCCGTTTGTTTGTTAACGTTAAAAAATGACCGACCAGATGGTTGGCTCGCCATCCACGAGCGGGACGGAATGATTTTCCATGGTATTTGTTGATTCATTCAATGCAGGTGACTCCGAATCACCGGGTTTCAGGATCGATTCAATGGAATAGGTCTGTTGTGACGAAAACGGTGGCGACGTACCCCGATTACTACTACGCATGATTACCGCAACGTTGTTTGCAATGGCTGCGTAAGCGGCTGCTGCAGCTGCCGCCTCAGTCATTGCTGGCAGCCCACACTGATCAAAGACCGACCTCTCTTGCTCGGCTCCTCTGATCTGAAAAATGCTCCGCCCGCAAAATTTGTGCGAAGAAAACGAAAAGGGATACGTACTCTCATACCGACACATACACACACGCACACATACACACAAACACACACAAATACACACAGACACACATACATGCACACGCATACACATAAATATATATATATATATATATATATATATATATATATATATATATATATAT